AGTTAAGTCAAATCCACAGAGATGCTGGCTTAGCCATCATGTTGCATCCCCCAGCTAGTGGGAGACGTCATATGCACCTGTCCCACTGTAGTTCCGAGAGTTTAAAAATTCTGGATTAGATTACTTCTAATTTTGATCTAATTATTTCTAAGTTTGCCAGAGAAAGGCTAATCTGCAACATTTTTTTTCATTTTAGTGTCAATGATGGTTTGTTGGTAGTGTATCAAAGTTTTATGTCCTTTCTTCATGAAATCTTTCTAAGCTGTTATGATGAACAGGGACTAGTATATGTATTGTGCAGCTTTGTATTCCATTCAGGTTGGTACCTTTCGGCATGACACTGCAGACGATGTGCAATGATGTGTACATAAGTGAGAGATTTTCTGTGGTCTCTGAAGCATGTTTGTAAAGTTGTATTTAAAGATTAGTTGTATTTAAAGATTAGCTTATTAATGTTGTGTTTCAGGGACATGTAGGTAATTACTTTTTGCGGCTATAGATGAGCAGTGCTGTTTTGTGAATGCAAAATAGGTTCCTTCACTTTGGCTGAGTCAGCTGTTTGTGGTTTTATATGGTATTAACCAGTGACTTAGAAATGTGCCAGTGATGGGCAGGTTTTGCATTCTCTGTTCATCTGTAAATGCACAGGGCTCACATGGAGACTTCTGCAGGCCAACTGATAAGCCTCCCTCCTATGCAGGTAGATGCAATGTAATGAAATTGGATGTGTGTGCTGGGCTTTGTAAATAAAATGAGATTGACCCCAGCCATTATCTCATTTATCTCATTTACATTGTAAAATCAGTATCTACACTATTGATTAGAGGATAATTAGTTAATTATGAACAGGAAAATGCAGAGTTATGTAGGGCTTGAGCACAGCCAGATGTACTGCTAAAAATAATAATAAGAAATCCAAGGGCATGAGCAGATGGAGATCGCTTTATTAAATAGCAAAGCAGACATATTTCAGGTATGGAAATGCCTAATGAAGCTTCCTTGCTGTGAAGATGTAGATGACTTGCATTCTGTATCCTTTTAGGTGAAAAATATTTATTTTATTTTATTTTATTTTATTTTATTTTATTTTATTTTATTTTATTTTATTTTATTTTATTTTATTTTATTTTATTTTATTATCTTCAAATTCACCTTTCTTCTTCACACCCAGTTTCTCAATATGTAGTGGTCATATATCTATCTTCATTAATTGCTGGGATGAGGAACACAGCAATTTCTAATTTTGATGCATAAAGTGATTTCAAGCTTGTTAAAACGTTGATAGTAAGCAATGACCTGTCCATTAAAAGTAATTTAGGAGGTTAGTTTAGCTTATCTTTGCATGGACCTCTGATTTTCACAAAGTTTTAGGTAAAACTGCTAGCCAGACCACTGAAGATGGCTGTGCACTTAATTGCAGTTATAGATCGTGTACTTAAACATGACAAAGGTTATCCACAAACAATAGTAAGTTAAAACATTTGCTAGTTTTAGAACAGTTTTGAAAATATGACCTTGAATCTGCAAGGCTAACAATTTTAACTGACTTAACTGACTTAAAATGGAAGAAGCAAAAGGGTTTGTTTTGTGTTCTCTCTCTTTTTTTTTTTTTTTTTTTTTTTTTTCCTAGCCCAATAGCTTAACTTTTACTATTAAACCATCCTTAAGATGGAAGTGGATGGTATTTGTAGTGTAGCTCCTTTGCTCTGTAAGTGTCCATGTTGTGATTGCTCTGTGAGGGCATTTACTGAAAGACTGGAAGGCTGCCAGTGTGACACCTTTTGTGACCCAACAATTTCATTCTCTAATTTATTTTGATAGTACTCCTTATTTTCTGTCTGTTTCTTACTTTCTGAGTCTGATAGTGGATTTTGTGTCATTTTAAATTGCTAGACAAAAGAACACAGGTACTAGTATGTATTTTCTTCTCACTTTACCACTACCATTTTAACCTAGGTATAAGGTTTTCTTTTGCAGTTAGGAATCATCAATACCCATTCTGTTTTCTGTATGAAGATGTGTGTAAGCTTTACTTTTTGCCCCAATCCAGTGTCAGCAGACAACAGAATTGCCAGTCAGCTAGTGCATTGCCTTTAACCAAGGTCCAGTCTGTATTTATCCCAATTTCCCAGTGTCATGCTGGGAACTTCACATTCTGTGGAGTTGTGTTCCATGATACAAAATCTGTATTCCATTATAAAACAATATGAAGAACTGTTTAAAAATAACTTGGTTTAACCTCATTAGTAGTCATTCAGCCTTTTGAATGTTGATACCTGAGAATATGCTTTTGTAATTTTTATTTTCTCAGCTGCTCAGATGCAGATAGAAGCTGTTAGTATCTGAAAAATTTCAGATATGTTAACTCATTCTAAGAAAAAGCAATTTTGATTCTTCCAAACCAGCTCTGAAATAATAAGAATAACAATGTATATTAAAAACAGTCAGCTTTAGAATGGGGATTCTGTATTTATTTTCACAATGTTCTGTTTATTTCAGCTCAGCTTTTGGTGACTTCCTCAGCATATATCTGAAACGTGGCTGAAGGTGAATTCAGGAAATACTACATTGTAGATATAAAATGAAAAAGACGTAAGAGATGGCAAAGTGGAAGAAGGGGGAAACGGTTTCTGTTGAACATAACATATAAACAGTTCTATATATAGGCAGTTGCTTCAGAAAAAAATGCAACCTAAATTAATGCTGTTAGAAGTCAGATGTAGATTTTTAGGATTAAGCTCTGAAATGCAACAGTGTGATCCTTTATTTTGTGTTACTTAGAGGGTCCCAGTTTACAAGAAGGGAGACTTCAGAGCTCTGGTAAGCACTGCTGAAATGCAAGCGCTTACATGAACAAGATTCTAGATACAGAGATAGGTTAGGAAAAATGTATTTCTTTGCAGATGAGAACATTGAGGCTCAAAGGAGGTTTCATCTTTTGCTGAAGGTCACATACACTGTTGAAAAGCAGCAGTGTAACCTATCTCATCTCCCACTCTCAACCTTTTTGTTACTTTAATATGCCTTTCACAAGAAATAAAACTGCTTATATTTCTAAGTAATATATTTCTACAACAGAACTCTTGTGTCTTTAAAAACTGAACAGAATGATTTCTTTTTCTTTTTTATTTTTTTCACTTTTCAGTGTGTTCTTTGTCCTGTACTTAGACTTATTAAGACTTAGACTTATATAGACTTGGACTTAGAGTTATTACTAAATAAACCTAAATATATAGTTTGTAATGTGGTTTATCTTTTTTTTTTTTTTTTTTTAAATAGGAAAATGCCACGATATCAGTCCAATCTTGCACTCTGTTGACAGGTAGATTATTGTTTTGAATTCCTACTAGCAGAAGATGTACCAGCAGTGCCCTTATCTGAGCAGAGCCCTTACCAGTGCTCATGTCTTACACATACCTTCTAAACACAGGCAGCTTCCCTAGTTAAGTGTAGCCTTGATAGCAAGGACAAAAGTGTTTAATTAGGTTAAGTGAGCATAATCTTAAAATGCTTGCTTTTTATTTGGAGACTCATTCCTGGAGAAAAGCCACCTGAATATTTTCTTCTGTCATTACAGTAAGATGTTCTGTTATTTGCTTCTTCCTTCTGTGGTACCCTGTGTGTTCTGGTGATGTTTGCATGCTTTGTAATGGAGAAAATGAGCATCAAGGGAAGCAGAGAAAGAAAGTTGTAGGAGAATTCTTAGAAATTTTTATTTTTTTAGTTTTACTTCTTATTTTTGGATCATTTGTATTGGTTTAGTTTAGAGTTCAGGGATATTTCTTGAAGAGAATATTGTGAAGTAATTTTTTAAAAAGCTTTATTTTTCATACAACAGAATATAGAATATAGATTATTTCAGACACTGACAGGACAAAGGGGAATGATTTTAAACTAAAAGAGGGGAGATTTGGGTTAGATATTAGGAGGAAACTCATCACTCAGAGGGTGGTGAGGCACTGGAACAGGTTGCCCAGAGAGGTTGTGCATGCCTCATCCCTGGAGGTGTTCAAGGCCAGGTTAGATGAGGCCCTGGGCAAACTGATCTAGTGGGTGGCCACCCCTATGGGGGGTTGGCACTAGGTGATCTTTGAGGTCCCTTCCAATTTGAGCCACTCTGTAATATTTGATTTACAGGAGAATATGCAAATAAAGTGAAGTTCTTTAAGATGTATAAAAATACTTGTTTTTAAAATGTTTTTCTTCATTTGAGCATATTATTGTACTGTCCAATTTAAAGATCCTTTTGTAAAGGACTCATACTGTAGCATTTCTTCTTGGTACATTAGGAATGGGTGAGCAAGGAATAGTTATGATAAATGTTTTGAGTTTCATGTGTGGACTATACTCAGTACTAAACACTAATGAAAACTTTATTAATAAAAATATAACATTGTTCTGTATGCATAGGTCCCTTTTAAGTGAAATATCACAGTGAAATCCTTTTAAATGAGCGTCCATTTCCCATGTATTCAAAGAGAATCAGAAAACATTTTGTGCTTTTATTTATCACCTGCACAGATAAAACTATCAAATTTATAGCTGTAAATTATACTTTGAGTTATTGAATATGTGAGCACATGACAGTTGGCTTTGAAACAATGGATGAGTAAAATATGTTTTAAATAAATCTTTTAAAACTACTAAAAGTCAATGTTGTTGCTGTTTAAAAAATACAAGGAACTTCTGAAAAAATGTCATTGTACCTAAAAAATTGAGCTGCTTATATATTTTTTATTTAATTTGCAAGTCTCCTAAATAATGTCTTTTACATAAGATAATGACGAAGGTGGTGCATGAGCGTCTGCATTGGAATATTCCAATTTAGGCAGAACCTACTTGAAATGTTGGTGTTTGAAAATACCACTTATAGAAAATGTATTTTCTCTACCATGATAATAGATCAAGAAATCTTGTGCTGAGAGTTGCAGAGATGCACAATTCTAAATAAAATAGAAATACAATTTATATATACATACATTTATTTTTTTCTTTTGTAGGTGTGATGAATGTAGGCTCTGCTACCATTTTGGCTGTCTAGACCCTCCCTTGAAAAAGTCTCCCAAGCAGACTGGCTATGGATGGATTTGTCAGGAATGTGACTCTACATCTTCCAAAGTAAGTTAATTCATCCTGTGAAAAAATAGTTGGAGTATGCTGGTTTAGCAGTCTTACTGAGCATCTGAAGTTTGTGTTGAAATGCCATAAATTGATCTGCACTGAGAAACAGTAGAAGGTCTTAAAGTAATGATTTCAGATTCTCTGTAAAACAGGTTAAAAAACAGAATGTATGCAAAATGAAAATAATCAATAAAGAGAATTTTATTATCTGAGTTAAATGTTTTCTCTTCACATTATAGTGTTATGTGAGAAAGGCGTAAGGATACTGTATCGAGATTGATAATGCTATTGACAAGTGGAAGTATTTCTGGATTAGTAAAGAACAAAACCTCTAAGAGAGGTGAAAAATATATCTTTTTCAAAAAGAATGAAAATTATTTGCATGAATAAATCAGTATTTCTTTTCCCCATTGGTAAAAATTGTGAAAATACTTTATGTTGATTGGTATGCCTTGATCAAGTACATTTTAACAGACTTAATCAGAACAAAATTTCTGATCTAGATTAGCTCACATAATATAGACAGAAATAGTATGCTTCTGTAGTTCTGACTTATGAAAAAAATAAAGATTTGATTCTTTGCTTTTCTGCAGTTTTCTTAGTACTGCCATTCTTTTCTGTCATTACCATAACCTCTGAAGAGACACTTTCCACTTGATTTTTATAATTGGATTTACAAATTCATCTTGTACATCAAAGTCAACAAACAAAAAACATACATCAGAGCATTCTAAAATTCTCTAGAATTTGACCGGCTATTCTACTACTTTCTTGGTATTTGGCAGAATATTTTAAGTAAGAAGGAAGTGAATCACTATTTGGATACACAGGGACACAGCTCTGCAGAGGTGCTGCTATAAGTTGTGTGTTAGCCTACTTGGATGTTACTCTAAAGAACAGTAGGTACAAAAAGTCCATACAGTGATACAATTTTTTTGACTTGATAGTGTCCCTTTCCGACTGGGAAGATATGGTACTCAGTTTCACGTGGCAGGGGGGTTAATCAAATTCTTCTGTAAGGAGATATGAAGACAGACATCGGAAATTAGCTGTCCACTACAGTTTGGACATCAAGCAATCTTTCTTGAATACCACTTACATGCAATGGACATTCCAAGAGTGAATTAAAATTGTTATTGAATTTCTGTCACCTGCTTAAACTAAAAGGTGTTCTTGATAATGTTAGTTAAAATTTCCGTCTCCATTTTTCTTGGCTTCTTCTGAGTAAACAAGCTCAAAAAAGCAGGGTTTGTTTTTCTAAATGTGTTTTCCAGGAGATTAGCTCACTATGTACCAGATAAAAATTTTAGAATACTTTACTGTGTAAATTAAGTATGATTAACTTCATTTAGTGCAGGGTGTGTGTTAGTTTAAAGTTGAAAACCACAGTGTTCTGAACAGTAAACAAAGTTTATTGTTAGAATGATGATGTATTTTGTATTATGTTAGTGATTATTGCAAATTAAAAAAAAAAAAGCTTGTTATTGTGTCTGATTTTCTTTTTCATTCACAGAGACTTCTAAATGAGTATATTTAATAAAGTCATTTGCACTTTCAAATTCAGGAAGTTTGAATTGTATTTGAGTGAAAATGTATATGAAAGATACTGAAAAATTGTCTTGTGGGGACTCCTTGTGGTTTTGTGTAGTCATGTTCACATAACTTTTTCACAAAACTAAGCAGAAAAATTTCTCTGAAAAGCTGTATTGCTCTGTATGTTTTAAAGTCTTTTTTTTTTTTTATGTAGCATTTGTTATTGTTTTACTTATTACAAATTCAAACAAATTCAAACAACTTAGCATTGAGTTACACTCCTTGTGAACTTTCCTTAATGTGAACATGGTTGTAAAAGTTGTAGGGCTCTGTGTATTTTCTTAATCATTTTCACATTCAATTTTCTTTGTGGCTTTAGAATTGTGTATTCTATATCCACGATTTTGCACAGCCTTTCACAGACAGCAGAAACTAACGTGATAAGGCTTTTTCTGCCCCTCGCTAGAGGGCCTACTCCCTCAAATGTGTACTTAAAGCTAGGAAGAGGAAAACTGTAGAGAAGGTTGCCTGGTTTGCTGCACTCTGCCTGACCTATGGATGAATTGCAAGCCTGAGCTCCCAGCAATTTCAATCTCTCAGTCACTCACTAAATCCAATTTTTGGTATGTCACAGTGAAGTTTCTAGTACAGATTATAGCAGCAAAATAGGATTGAATTTCCAGCTTTTGCCAAGGAGACCATTGTTTAGTTTTCTTTCCTTCACCATTTTTCATCTGTTATGATCCAATTTAAATCACTGCTAGAGTTTACATTTTAAAATTACACAACAATATCTTCTGTAGCAGTGTTGGCCCTTGAAAACAGTTGGTAAGTAAATTACACTATTTCAATGAGGAGATTATAGTACATAGCATGGTTTAGTTGCTTTTTAATTTCTAATTATGACTTTAAATTTGACATGTTTGGGAAGAGTTGCATACTGCCAACAGTGAATAACGTGTCTTTATTTTCAGATTTTACTAAACACTTGCAGGTGTCAGCGATATAAGAGATTTAATGTAGCAATAAGAAACATATGCTTTAAATTGCTATCTACCACAAGTGTTGGACATGCTGCTTCCATTTTGCTCACACTAGTCACGAGACTCTAGCAGTTGTGTCAGTTTTTCCACCAACATAGCATATTCCCATATTACCCTGCCTGTCAAATAACAGACAGGGAGAGACTTTGCTGTAGGGCATGAGGGCAACAGCTTCTCTGCTGGTAATTCTTGCTGTCACTTTCATGGAATGGGTGATGCTCACTACTAAGGTCTGACAAGCTCTCTCATCTAAAAAACATTGTAGATTTTGTTACGCCACATGAAAGCTGAAGTGAAGCTATAAGCTCTCCATTTCTGTAACATTATCCATCCACCCAGTGAAGGGGCTATGGTGTGTTTTCAGTATTGCCAAACAGCACTATAAATCATAAATTTCCTGATACTTTCAAGTAATGATATTCAGAAGGAATATAGGACCTTATTTAAGTTGATATTAATAAAAATAAATAAAATAAGCCAAATTATTTACTATTATGATGTGGTAATATTTAGTAGGAGCAAATGTGGCCTGACCATGTGTTCATTATGTGCAATAAGGGCCTCATTGTCAAGTTCCATTGTCATAAGATATGGCTATACAGGATTCCTTTCTATTGCCTTCCTTTTAAAAAGTACTGTTTGAAGTATCTCTTCCAATTTCAAATTTTTCCAAAGTACCAAGGCAGCAAAGACTTTAAAAATATATCATGTTAGTTACAGTGACCGTGCTACTTTAGTTTCGATCTGTTCATCTTTGTATACAATCTATTTTGCAAAAAGCTGCAGAGTGTGCATGTCAGGTCATTATTTGAGTGCTGCAAGATCAGCTGCCTTGCCTGTAGACTTCTGTTTAGTTTTCTTTTATTTCATCCTTTTACTATATTGCATTTTTTCGGTAGAAATAAATTGTCAGTGTATATGTGTAGAATTCTCATCTAAACCCCTCAGGAAATATTTCCTGGAATGACAAAGCCATGACACACCAGCCCTGGTAAATAGTATTTTTTGTACGCCTTTTTTGTTGGAAAGCAATCATGGATAATTTTGCTTATTAGCAAAGCAGCAGCATTTCTTTTGGTATATCTTGCTTCCACATAGTGAATAAGCAAATATAACTGGATGCTATTGTATTAAAACATTGAATATAATATTCAAAATAGTTTTTTAAATTAAAAATCATTAAAATGAATAATTGAAACATCATCATGTAAAATTTATTGCAAATCTCTTGATTTCGTCAAAAGAAAATTAATTCAATTTAATTACTTTAGTCTGTGGAATTTTATGCTAACATGAAGTGGGTGGTTAAGAAGGTCTATGAGGAGTGTAGAAGATCTTTGTCTGTTCTTGAGTTGTGCATATGTTAATCTCATGGGTTATGGAATTTATATTTTTTTTCTTTATTCCTTTATCTCAAATTTGGAGAGTATTTTTGCACACTTGCATGCTTTCATACAACTGTGTTTAAAAAATATATGTATATGTAACAGAAGAACCAAAAAAATCATGATGTCATGCTCTCAGAATGCAGGAAATCTCAAAATTAAGGTTGCATGCAGCACTTTATTCTTTTTGTGACTATGTGCGAATTTATAGCCTTTAATTAGTTCATGCTGTGATTTTTATTTATTTATTAATTTTCTATAGGACCCCTGCCTTCTCTGATTTAGCTGTTAGGGGTCATTGAAAGAGATGAATTTGGGTTGAGTATTAGAAAAAACACTGTCTTTAGGTTTTACAAGATCTGAAAAAAAAAAAGGCATTAGTTTCAGGAAGAGAAAAAAGGAAGATTACCCTTCTGTTTGAAGTAGTTGAGTTGTGACTGGAAGATTGAATTTTATTCTTGTCTCACCCCTAAGCTCCTGTGAATGCTAGACAAGTTGCAATTTTCAGACATTTAGTGTGGGTCTTTTTCTCATTTGCTGCTGCCCAGCTTGGATCCTTTGGCCTGACATGCAAAAGTGCTGAATTCTCAGAGCTGCAGAGGTGATAATGTAAGTTGTGTTTTGAAAGTAGTCTCCACAATAACGTGGTCTAGACTATTGAAAACTGAGTAACAAATTTAATAAAACTTTTAATTGTTACTCTCCCTAGGTTTCCTGTTTGTAAAATGCTGATACTGCACGTTTATTTTAGACATTTTCTTTAAATTTGGATGAATTGTCCTTGGAGCTGCTTTTTACTGTCCAGGGACTAGAGAGGAGGCTAGACAGTTCTGATTAGCAAGGGTTACAGTTCAGGGATTCTGCTTGCTTGAGTACATGTAGAAGATGATTGAATGAACCCTGCATGGACAGACTTTATTTGGGTATTTACTAGCGTTCAGAACAAAACATTTCTGATATAGCCAAAGTCTTTAACATTTTATATATACAAGAAAACCCTATTTGAATATAATACATGAGTTTGGCACAGGCTGAT